CGCAGGTCTCTGCTTCTGAGGACACGGAGAAGGGCTCTGGCCCCTTACCTTTTCGGGGTTGAAATCCGGAGGGTAGTACTTGTTCGTGCCTTTCCTTTCACCCTGGAAGGAAGAAGAGACATGTGACTCAGACAGGGGCCCCAGGATCCCTAGGGACAAGAGCTGGAAGAGGGAGGAGCAGGGCCCAGAGGGGACAGTGTTGGATTAGAGTCCGATCATGGAGGAGTGCTCGGGGGAAATCGCACTGCTGTGGCTTTGAGGAAGTGTGGGAATTTCGTCTCGTTATAACGAGGAAACCAGCCAGCTCCGTGGCCAAGTGGTTCAGGCGCTGGATACCGCACAGCCTACTGCGTTCGAGTCCTGGCCCTGGCAGCTTGAAAAACATGTGGGGTACATGTCTGTTTACGCCCCAAATCCCAACAGGCTGGAGAAACCGAGAAGGGATTGCGGCATGATTATGCCCCACTGAGAGGGTGCCTCCTCCTCTTCCCCTCTTTCTCAGGCAAATTAAGAAAAACAAAAACCAGGGCGAGCAGGTGGCGTGAAGGTTAAGGTGGCCAATGAGTCCTGGGCCCAGGGGCTTGAAAATCACACGGGGTGGGGACCAGCAGTTGGCATAATGGCTATGTCACTGGACTCCCATGTAGTCGACTGCAGTTCGAGTCCCAGACTTTGTGGCTTAAATTCACACCGGGCGTGTGTGCGTGCGTGCCCAAGATCCCGAGAGGAGAACAGAGGAGAAGGGATTGCGGTGTGGCCATCTCCTCTGGGGGGTGATTTCTCGCTTCCCATCTCTCTCTCTCTCTCTGTCTCTCTGGTGAGCGCACACGCCCTATAGCAAAAACCTCACACACACACACAAAAAAAGCCTACTGAGAAGCCTAGTAATTAATGGATCTGGATTCTATGTGACTGTGGTTCAAATCCTGGCCCCGGTGGCTTGAAAAATACCAGCCATATGTAATGCATGCTGAAAACCCCAACAGGATGGAGAAATGGAAGAAAGGGGATTGCGGCATGACTATGCCGCGTGAAGGAGGTGCGTCTCCCTCTCCTTGTTGAACTCATGTATCTTCTTGGCATTAAAAACAAAAGGGGGGGGCAGGTCCAGCAGGTGGCGTGGTGCTTATCTTCTTGGCATTAAAAACAAAAGGGGGGGGCGGGTCCAGCAGGTGGCATGGTGCTTAAGGCGTTGGACACTCCCACGTGGCCAACCACGGTTTGAGTCCCAGACATGGTGGCTTGCTTTCTCACTTTCCCTCTCGCTCTCTCTCTTTCTCTGTGTGTCTCTCTTGGTCAAATTAAAATAAAATGAATGAATGAATAAAATTTTTTAAAAAATCCCTGTGTCAAGCCAGTAGGTGGCATGGAGGTTAATGCACTGCATCCTACATGGTGACTCCATGGTTTGAGTCCTGCACCTGGAGGCTTGAGAAACACACCGAACACGTGTGCATACGTGCCCCAAACCTGAGAGGAGAATGGAGGAGGGACTGTGGCATGGCCATCCCCACAAGGAGGTGACTTCTCACTTTCCCACTCTCTCTGTCTCTGTCTGGTGAGCATACATGCCCTGTAACAAAAATCTAAAACAACCAAAAAGGCGAATTCTGTTTCTCTTTTCTTCTCTCTGTCTTTCCCTCTTCTCTTTCTCTCTCTCTCTCATAAAAGAAAAAATATAATAAAGTTGTGATCCAGAGTGCAAAACTGCCATCTTAGAGCTTCAGGGGGGCAGGAAGAGGCGCCCCTTGGGGACCCAACAAAGACCAGCACAGAGATCCAGGGGGGACAAGCTGCTGACTCACCATCTTGCCAGCCGCCTACCGGGCCTTGTCCTCAAGGCGGCCGGTCAGAAATTGGCCTCGCCGGTCTGCTGTTCAGTCCGGGCCTCCTGCGAAGCCTGGCAGAGGTGCCACAGGCTTCTCTCTGGGGACGTCGTGGGCTGTGTGGTGGTGCCAGCTCAAACCGGCTCCTCCCAAGGCGTAGAAGGTGTCCAAAGCGCAGGGTCTGTCTGTGTGGAAAGAGAGGGTCCTGTTACTTTAGGCCTTCTTTCTTTCTTTCTTTCTTTCTTTTTTTAATAGTTATTTTATTTACCTTTATTTATTTATTTAAATTTGACCATAGAGGGACAGAATGAGAGAAAAAGAGGGCAAATGAGAAAGCAAGCCGCCAGGTGCGGGACTCGAACCGCGGTCGGCCCTGTGGGAGTCCAGCGCCCTTAATCACCAGGCCACCTGCTGGCCCCATGTGGGCTTTATTAAGTCCAGGCGATAAATGAGGACACAACGGGGCGTAAGGTTTCCTGTTGGAGCTGCCCATCTCTCTCACATAATAAATAAACTTGAGGCCAGCAGGTGGCGTGGTGGTTAAGGTGTTGGACTTGCACATGGACGACTGCAGTTCGAGGTCTCAGAGCAGGGCAACTAAGTAGAAGGAGAGGCTTGAAACTCACACCAGGTGCGCCTGTGTGTGTGTGTGTGTGTGTGTGTGTGTGTGTGTGTTTGTGTGCGCGCGCCCAAAATCCCAAAAGGAAAATGGAAGTGATGATGGCGTGACCATCCCCCTCGTGCTGGGGGTGATTTCTTACTTTTTCTGTCTCTGTCTCGCTCTCTGGCAAGTGCACATGCCCTGTAGCAAAAATCTGTCCCAAAATAAATAAACAAACAAACTTCGAAACAAAAACAACTGATGGGGCCAGCAGGTGGTGCAGAGGTCAAGGCACTGGATCCCACATGGTTGACTTTGTGGTTCAAATCCCGGACCCAGCAGATTAAAAATCACACCATGCACCTGTGCATGAACCTACAAACCCTGACAAGAGACTGGGGGAGGGACTGCAGTGTGGCCATCTCCCCCAGGGGAGATTTCTCATTTTCTCTGTCTGGCAAGTGCATGCACCCTACTGCAAAAACTACCACAAACACTGAGGGCAGACCTTCTGAGGGGACTGGGGGAGCGGTGGTGGAAAGCCCCGGATGTGAAGTGTCCCACCACCACCACTCTGAACCTCTCTTCTTTGCAAAGTACGCTCCTTGGACGGGATTGTTCTAAGGCCCATTCCAACCTTCAAAGTTATTTTTTGCCAGGGCTTGCCAGTGGCAGGTTGGTGAAGGTGGCTGAATCCCACGTGGTCAGCTGTGTGGCTTGAGTCTGGACCTCATGGCTTGAGAAACACAGGGCGCATGTGCATGTGTGTACCCAAAATCCTAAAGGGAAGGAGAGATGGAGAAGGGATTGTGGTAGGACCATTCCCATGGGGGATGCTTTCTCACTTTCTGTCTCTCTCCCATAAGCCTATCACACTCTAAAAATGGGGGATGCTTTCTCACTTTCTGTCTCTTTCCCATAAGCCTATCACACTCTAAAGCATCTTTTTAAAATTTTAAATAAAGATTTATTTGTATTTATTTATTTTAATTTGATCAGAGAGAGGGAGAGGAGGTGACAAAGCAAGCTGCCAGTGCTGGGACTCGAACCATGTTCAGTTATGCGGGAGTCCAGAGTCCCAACCACTACACAACCTGCTGGTCCCAATTTTTTGTTGCTGTTGTTGTTGTTAACAAAACAGCCAAGTGCCATCCAGGTTTTGGGGACCCCGATCCTTGGACTAAAATCCCAGCTCCATTTATCACCAACTGATGACCTTGGTCAAGTCTGAACTTCCCTGAACTGTACTTCCTCAACTGTAAAAAGAAAATGACCGGGGCCTGCAAGTAGTGTGGTAGTTAAAGGCGCTGGACTCCCACATGGCCGACCGTGGTTCGAGTCCCGGACCTGGTGGTTTGCTTTCTCACTTTCTCTCTCTCTCTCACTCTGTCCCTCTCTAGTCAAATGAAATGAATAAAGTTAAATAAAATAATTTTTTAAAAAAGAGACACAAAAGAAAACGAAAATGACAAGACTGACTTTGGGGATTTGCCAGGAATAACACAGAGGAGGGGCCGGCAGGTGGTGTGGTGGTTAAGGTGCTGGGCTCCCACATGGCCAATCATGGTTCAAGTCCTGGACCTGACAGCTTGCTTTCTCACTTTCCCTTTCTGTCTCTCTCTGTTCAAATGAAAACATAATAATTAAAACAACAACAAATAACATATTCTTTTTTTTTTTCTAAAATTATTTATTAGAGACAGAAAGTGACAAATCACCCCCAAGGTCACACTGCAATCCCTTCTCCTCCATTCTTCTCTTGGGACTTTGGACACACATGCACGTGAGTCCAGTGTGAGTTTTAAGTGACCAGGTCCAGGACTCGAATCATGGTCAACTACGTGGGAGTTCAGCAATGTAACCATTATGCCACCTGCTGGTCCCTAAAATAAATAATTCTTAAAAAAAAAAAAGAAAAAGAAAGAAATAACACATGGGAAGTACCGGCAGAGAATAAATAGTTTAAAGGAGCTTTTAGGAGTGCCAGGGTGTTATGATATTTTAATCACCCCCGTGAAAGGCCCGGATGGGGCTATTGCGTTGACGAATGGACGGTTCCAGTCCTTGGAGTCAAGAGTAAGGATTGCTCTCATTTGCCCTGAACTTCCAGCTTGGGCTGGAATCTCCTCTTCACAGCATCCTAGCTGTTTGACCTCAGGCAAATTGCTTATTCTAAGCCTCAGTTTCCTCACCCATAAAATGGGGGCTCATAAAAGCATCCACCAGGGGTAGCAGGTGGCTTGGTTAAAGGCACTGGACTCTCATATAGCGGTTCGAGTCCCGGACCTGGTGGTTTGCTTTCTCACTTTCTCTCTCTATCTCTCTCTGATCAAACTGGAATATAATAAATAAAGTTTAAAAAAATCTTTTAAAAAACAAAAAGCATCCACCCGAGACGAGAAAAGCATCAACGCTGCTTGACACCGCGTTAAACGCTGGCGTTTTGGTAATTTCTCACGCTCCCTGTTTTATAAGGATGATTTTACAAATCCGCACCACGATCTGGAGGGGTAGGGGCTTGCTGGTCCCATTTCGCATCCGAGGAAACCCAAGGGCCCTGGAGGGATCATCTAGGGGCCGGGCTAGTGGCCAGAGCCGGGCCCGTGGGTCAGGAGTCCCAATGGGGCCCCGAAGACCCGGGTGGGGGGTCGAGGCTGGGATCTGCGCTGGCTCCGGGTGTCCGAGCCCAGTTTTCAGAATTCCGTATCCCATTGCTCGCCGGTCCGCGCCGGGCAGCAGCGAGGCTGAGGCCAGACCCCGGCCCTGCCCAGCCTGCCCGCCCCTCCGCCGGCCCCCACCCACCTGCCCTCTTCCTGACGTCACGCCGCGACTGTGCCCGGAAGTGCGCGCTGGACGCGCAAGCGGCTACCGGGACGCCGGCGCGAGGCGGGGCGAAGCAGAGGCGCCCTACTGATTGGCTGAGTTCCGAAGAGCCGCTCGCTCTCCGGACCAATCCAGGACGGCTCCTCCCAAACGCGCGCACGTCACGATGCCCCGCCCTCTGCCCCACCCACCACGCGAGGACCAATCCGAGGCCCGCCTCCTGCCACCGCCCTCCCAGGAACGCAGTTGGGGTGCTCGCTTTTGGCAGCGCCTTTGCGAGGAGCGCAGTCTTGAGCGCTGAAGCTGTACAGTGAGGTAGGCCAGATCCCACCTGTCCCCGGAACTAGTGAACTGTGGTTAAGGGCGCTGGACTCCCATATGGGAAGCTGCGGTTCGAGCCCCGCACCTGGCGGCTTGCTTTCTCACTTTCTCTCTCGCTCTGTCTCGCTCTGGTCAAATTAAAATAAGTAAATAAATAAAGTTAAAATAATTCTTTAAAAAATTGTTTTTCCAAGTTTAAATGGTTGGGGGAAAAAGACTATTTCATGACTCGTGGAAGTGATAAGATATTTGAGCCAGCAGGTGGCGTAGTGGTTAAGGCACTCGATCCTACCTGCCCCATTCTGCCATTGGGTCCCAGACCCAGCCGTTTTGGGTAAAAACACGCTGAACACGTGTGTGTGGGTGCCCCAAATCCGGAGGAGAATGGAGAAGGGTTTGCAGGGTGGCCATCCCTTGACCCCCATGGGGGGGCTTGTATGTGTGAGTGTGTGTCTGTGACTTCTCACTTACCCTCTTTCTCTGTGTCTCTCCAGCGAGTGAGGAGGCCCTATGGCAAAAATCTAAAATAAAAAGAAATGCAAAAAAAAAAAAAAAAAAAAAAGGAAGAAAAAAAAGAACTGCTAATAAACAAAAAAATGAGACCAGCAGATGGTGTAATTGTTATGCTGCTGAACTGTCATGTAGTCAACTTCAGTTCAAGTCCCGGACCCGGTGGCTTAAACTCGATCAGCCTTGTGTGCGTGCGTGTCCAAAATCCCAAGAGGAGAATGGAGGAGAAGGGATTGCGGTGTGGCCAATCCCCCGTGAGGTGAATTTCTCATTTTCTGTCTGGCAAGCACACGTGCCCTAGTGCAAAACCCTCTCTCTCTTAAAAAAAAAAGGGGGGGGGAAGTGCTAAGAAAAGAAAAAGAAAATGCTAAAATACTCAATTTTCAGCATTGGTAAATAAAGTTTTGTAGGAACACAACTTTTCCCCTTCATCTACTTCATTTTTTAAGAATTATTTGACTTTATTTATATATTTTAATTTGACCTGAGAGGGACAGAATGAGAGAGAAAGTGAGAGAGCAAGCCTCCAGGTCCGAGACTCGAACCATGGGTGGCCATGTGGGAGTCCAGCGCCCTTAACCACCACACCTCCTGCTGGCCCTCCTGCTTATGATCTGTGGCTACAAGGGCAGAATGGAATTGATTACAACCGGCAGTGTATGGCCCAGAGAGACTAAAGCAGTTACCTGTTAGTCTGTTCAGAAGAAATGGGGTGACCCCACCCCTAGAGCCTCCAGTTCAGTCCGGCTACATCATCTGTACTGGCAGGTGGTTGCTGAACTTACTTTCCTGCCTGTAGGGCCTGAATCTATTTGTACATGCAACAATTGTTAACCAGACACCTGCCATTTGCAAGGCCAAAGGGATTCGAGGAAAAAACACACTGTCTCCTTTTTTTTTTTTTTCTGGAGAGGTTTTTGCTATAGGGTGGCATGCGCTCGCCAGAAAGAGAGACAGAGAGATAGAAAGTGAGAAGTCACCCCCTAGGGGGGGATGGACACGCCGCAATCCCTTCTCCTCCATTCTCCTTTTGGGCACGCATGTACCTGCACAGGTGTGAGTTTAAGCCACCAGGTCTGGGACTTGAACCGCCATCGAGTACATGGGAGTTCAGCGACATAGCCATTACGCTAACTGCTGGTCCCGGACACAAGATCTCTGACCCCATTATCCCAACTTGGCAGCTGCAGAGACCATAAAATAAATTTTTTTTAATTATTATTTTTATTTAACCTTATTTATTTTATTTTTAATTTGACCAGCGTGGGACAGAGTGAGAGAGAGAGGGAAAGTGAAAAAGCAAACCACCAGGTCCAGGACTCGAACTGTGGTCAGCCGTATGGGAGTCCAGTGCCCTTAGCCACCATGCCATCTCCTGGCCCCAAATAAAAAATTTTTTTTATGGTCATCGCAGTTCAGTGATTCTTTTTCTTTTTTTTTTTTTTTTGAGAGGTTTTTGCTATAGGGCATGTGCTCTCGCCAGCCAGACAGAGAGAGACAGAGAGACAGAAAGTGAGAAATCACCCCCCAGGGGGGATGGCTACGCCGCAATCCCTTCTCTTCTGTTCTCCTCTTGGGATCTTGGGCATGCACGCACATGAGCCTGGCCTGAGTTCAAGCCACTGGGTCCGGGACTTGAACCGCAGTCAACTATATGGGAGTCCAGCAACATAGCCATTACACCAACTGCTGGTCCCAACACCTGGTGTGTTTTTCAAGCCTCCAGGTCTGGGACTTGAACTTCAGAGTTCGCTATGTGGGATCCAGCTGCCCTAACCACCAAACCACCTCCTGGCTTCCCACTCTGTGGTTACCCCTCAGACAAACTCATTATTTTTCCTGATTCTAACAAGTAAATTATAGTGGCGTTTAACACGGCGGGGGCAGGGGCTTGTTTGAGGGAAATTACAGTGTTTAAGCACCAGGCACCCTGGCGTTTGAATGAAGAAAAATAAAAGAAAATGAAAAACTGGCCTTTTGGGAACCAGCAGTTAGCGTAATGGCTATGTCGCTGGACTCCCACGTAGTCGACCGCGGTTCGCGTCCTGGACCCGGTGGCTTAAAACTCACGCCGGGCGCGTGTGCGTGCGTGCCCAAGATCCCGAGAGGAGAATGGAGGAGAAGGGATTGTGGCGTGACCATCCCCCCTGGGGGGCGATTTCTCGCTTTCTGTCTCTATGTCTCTCTCTGTCTGTCTGGCGAGCGCATGCGCCCTATAGCAAAAACCTCTCCAAAAAAAAAAAAAAGAAAGAAAAAAACTGGCCTTTTAAAATGCCATGCGACATGGTGCCTAACTAAATGACAGGACCATCCCAAGTACTCACATCAAGTGTTCTAACCTGGCTAATATTTATACAGATAGTCATAGTTCATCTCTTCAATTAATTTCCTTCAGCATCCACCTGCCTTAAAAAAAAAAAAAAGAATTATTTTTTCTTTAGGACCAGCAGGTGGCATGGTGGTTAAAGCATTGGAGTCTCCCACATGGCTGAGCATATTTCTAGGCCCCGACTTGGCAGCTTGCTTTCTCACTTCTCTCTCTCTGTGTCTCTGTGAAATTACAAATAAATGAACAGATGGGACCAGCAGGGGGCATGGTGGTTAAGGCATTGGACACTCCCATGTGGCCGAGTACAGTTTGAGTCCCAGACCTGGTACCTTGCTTTCTTAAGTCCAGTGCCCTAACCACTACGCCACCTGCTGGCCCTACCTACAGTGTTTCAATCTCTTTTTAACTTTTTTTGGAGAGGTTTTATTACAGGGTGCGTGTGCTCACCAGAAAGACAGAGAGAGACAGAGAAACAGAAAGTGAGAAATCACCCCCCAGGGTGGATGGTCACGCCGCAATCCCTTCTCCTCCATTCTCCTCTCGGGATCTTGGGCACGCACACACACGCGCCCAGCATGAGTTTAAGCCACCGGGTCCGGAACTCGAACTGCGGTTGACTACATGGGAGTCTAGTGACATAGCCATTATGCTAACTGCGGGTCCCCACTGTTTCAATCTCCTTCATGGTCATTAAACCCTTTAGTCCCTAAGTGGTTCCCGTTGGGTTTCTGTCCTTGTTCTTTTCTTCTTCTTCTTCTTCTTTTTTTTTTACTTTTACCTTTTTAAATTCAATTTTATTATTATTTTATTGTTTGTAAACATTTGATTGCTATGCATCATTTGGCTTCTAAAGAGAATTTATCCAGGGGCCGGCAGGTGGCATGGTGGTTAAGGGTGCTGGACTCCCACATGGTTGACCGTGGTTTGAGTCCCAGACCTGGTGGTTTGCTTTCTCACTTTCTCTCTCTCTCTCTCTCGCTCTCTCGCTCTGTCTCTCACTAGTCAAATTTTAAAAATAAATGAATAACTAAATCAAGTTAATAAATAGTTCTTTAAAAAATGATTTTATTGGGGCCAACAGGTGGCGTAGTACCATGGTGGGAGTGTCCAGCACCTTAACCGCCACGCCACCTGCTGGTCCTAAATGATTCTTTAAAAAAACTATGTCCCTTATAAAGAGCGTTTGCCCAACATGCAATACACCTCCATCGAGTCCGGTTGAGAATCAGCAGGTGACAGCTGTCCTGTCCCTAATTTCCTTCCCTGTACTCGTCCCCTCGCCCACCCTCCTCCCACACCCTCTCCCTCGTGTCCTTCTTCTTTTCTTCCCTCCGTCCTCTCTGACTCGCACCCACATGAGTGCGGGACTAAAAATAGCAGCTTTCTCATCTGCAGCCCCAGCCTCTGCCCGTTGCAGACTCTCCTCCCCTGCCCC